AAATTAAATTAAATTAAATTAAATTAAATTAAATTAAATTAAATTAAATTAAATTAAATTAAATTAAATTAAATTAAATTAAATTAAATTAAATTAAATTAAATTAAATTAAATTAAATTAAATTAAATTAAATTAAATTAAAACACAACAAAATAAAAAATATATATAAAAAAATAAAAAAAATAAAAAAATTTAAGGGTCCAAAAAGCCAGATAGTATTTGCCCTTTGAACATCAAAAAATGTTGCATAAAAATGGCATTGTAACATTTGCAAAAAGCTGCAGCAAAACAGTGCATTTGAGCTGCAATACTGCTAATAAAAAACATCCTGGTGGGGCTTTTAAAATAACTCTTTATTATAATTCTAGAATTCTGTATGTGTAACGGTCTAATCTTGAGTCTGAATACTGGAATGCAGCAGTATAAAATTCCTCCGCTGTCCAACATCGCATCAGATCTGTCAACCGAGCCAAAAAAAGCCCTTCCGCTTGATCTGGCCCCGCGAATGGATTTATTCTGGGTTAGCGGCGTTTATACGGTTGGTTGTGCGGTCATATTCAGCTGGGAAATACTGTACAGTTGAGTGGATGAACACACACATTCACACCATCATATTTCCTCACGTCTAAACTCCAGAGATTCGTGACAGTATGCTGAACTTTAGACACATTTAGAGTCTGATTTCAGTGATCCATGATGATCAGCCAATCATTTCAGCTGCAATACATGCATTACAAATACTTAATTAAACTCAAAAAAGTTCACTCTACCTCAATTCATAATGGTGAATTTTAAAGTTTAGACTTTAGGGAAGTGTTAGATTTATTTATTAATGCATATCGGTCAATATGAACTAACTAAATAAAGAGTTTTAATAAATATCCTTTTAAAAACACTTTGTATATTTACTTTATGAATACTGATGGAGACTTCAATTACAATGAAATTTTTTACTAGAGAAATTGACAAAAATTACATTAATGTAAGGATAACAATATGACTATCACTTTTATTTTTCAGTGCAAAATTATGCAAAATTAAGCTATTATTTCATGTGAATGTGCTTCTGATTTATTAGCTGCTAGGTGAATAATTAGAAGAGTAACAAAATGTAGTGAATAGTAGAATTATTGGTGCTACAAAATAAGTGTTTTATTCCCCTCTATACTGAGGGGTTTGTTCATATATCATTCGCGCAGAGTTATATAACACTTTACTCCTTTAAACATGGTGAAATTGTATTTGTTTTCTGTCTGTTGACAGTATTTTCTGATTTATGAGTGATAAAAATAGAAATCCAAAATCCCTTCTGGAAAAACCTTGTTAACAAAATGTAACAAGAATTTTGAACCAATGTTCAGATTTCTGTTCAGAAATGTATGCAAATGAATGCATTTATATTTAGATAATGCCTCATTTGCATTATGAAAACATAACATTTCAGAAAAAAAAGTCTTAACATTTGTCTTAATGTACTGAATTAATGAACTGGGAAAAATATGCATCTGGTGATATCTATTTTTATTATTATTATTATTATTATTTACCCTATTTACCTGTAGTGTCTTGTCTTAAAATAGCATGATAACATACACCAGCTTGCAATATCAAGCAGCATAATGGCCTGTTTTTGTTCAGCTAACATTTCTGAAAGCAACTGACACCAGAAACCTCACACATTCAAGGTAAAAAAAAAACACAAATATGTCTGCAATTATGCAAATGTAGGCTAAAACTGTTAAAATGGGTTATGTTCAAAAAACACATTATAGCCAACCAATTAACCAAACTACAGTTCCTGCATGTTCATGACAACACATACAGCATCATGTCTCATTCAGCTCTTCTCATATACTGTCTTCTGCATGCCACATCATTTACACAAAGTAAACACTGACTCACCAACTAGTCGATTACTTTCAAGCAGTAATGCCTCAAGCAAGCACATTTTATTAATCAATCATCCGCATCTGAAGAAGCATGCAAGTTTTTAAATGCTTTTAAATGTTCTCATGAAGCACTACACAAAGTGTCTCAGTAATGATGGTTATTAGGGAGGCACCGATACAAAATTTCTCCAAAAATACCGATAACCGATTATTTAGAATGACATCAGCCGATACCAATAGTTTAGCTTTCTTAAGGAGAAAGAAATCTCTCCCAACTAATACTGTAAACATTACTATAATCTTAAAGAATAAAATTAACAACAGAGCCCAAACTGTTATATTTAAATATAGATATAATAATCACACTCAAATAAAAACCGATATGTTTGAATACAACTCAACTGCACATAAGGTAGTTTCATAAAAAACTTGTTCATATCAGATTTCTTTTAAATATACATATATCATTAACAGTAAATAAGCTCCCTCTAGTGTTTGTATAGCTAATTAACCAATTGTAAACACTGAATTACTTAAATGCAACGTTAAGTGACATATTGATCACAAGCTGTTTTATCGGCAATTGAAACACTTGATAGATTACACGAGACACGATTCATTTCAGTAAGATGTATCTTTCAACACCTTCTGATGATCATTCATGTTTATTTCACACTATAACTTGCTATTAAACTATTCTTAAACTATTAATAATAATAATTATTATTAGTACCACATTTAAACATCAAAATGGCATTTAGTGTTTGAAATTTGTGATAAAATGTACAGGATTTGAAAGCTGAGATTTTGTTTCTTATCAGAAGTCACAAAGCACAAAGATCTTTGCTATTATTGAATGGGAGGCGCATTACAAATTATGTTTTGTGATGGGGAAAATTGTGGACCTGGCAACCATGATTTAAAGGGACAGTTCACCCAAAAATGAAAATTCTGTCATCATTTACTCATCCTCACGTTGTTGCAAAGCTGTATGATTTTTTTTTTCTTTTGCTGAACACCAAAGAAAATATTCTGAAGAATATTAGTAACCAAAAAGTTGACGGTAGCCATTGACTTCCATAGTATTTTGTCCAAGTCGATGGCTACCATCAACTATTTGGTTACTAACATTCTTTAAAATATCTTCTTTTGTCATACAGGTTTGGAACAACTTGAGGGTGAGTAAAAAGGGCAAAATTTTTGGGTGAACTGTCCCTTTAAACTACAGGTGATTCATAGAGTCAAATAGAACCTGCGTTAACTACACTATTTTTAAAGTGAGATTGCATTATAATTGCGTTTACTTTGGCAACCCTAAATCCTAGAGGCATTTCCTTCACACATAAGTTGCAATCTGACACATATTTCCACCTTCTTTTGATTGACAGCATATACCGATTATATGGCGATACCGATTATCGGCCGATATATCGGTGCACCCCTATTGGTTTTGATCATCTGCGTGTTCAGGATGTGATTGGTCAGTAATGCTCTTCTTTCTCACCTGTGGTCGTGGATGTCCTGTGACCAGGCAGGTGAGCTCGAGCGTCTCTCCCTCTCGGATGGTGTAAACCCTCTCAGAGTAACGCTCCTCCTCCACGTTACACGCGTGACCCGAGTGCACGATCCGGACGGTAGGAGGCGCTGTGAAGAGAACAGACGGAGAGCATCACAATCATGCATCGAACACATCCCTCCCTCCATCTCATTGCTCTGCACGGAAGCACGAATCCTCATATTGTTAATCAAATAAACACAGACGTCCTTGAGCGGAATGACTCAGCTGCCTTTGTATTTGAGCTCTATCAAGTGCACTTCACTCTGCATCACATGACGACTACCTAGACGACTAATTCACATCTAACAATCTCTAGAGAAGCTGGTCAATGACTAAACAATGATCGTGCACACTAGAGTCTGACTCTCTGATTTAATGCAGAATAATAATAAAAAATAGTGATTCATGATCTCCTGAAACTTAAAACTTGTTCTGCAAATATATTTACATTTTTACTGTATTTTTACAGAATTATTCTGTTAACAACAGCTGTTTTTCTCTACAAAAACAACAGGATCGTTTTTCCAGGATTTTGTTTTTCATGCTGAAGAAAGCAGCGTTTGGTTTTGTGTCCTGAAAATGTCTCTGCCTCACAGCCAACACACATGACCTCAAATGTCACGCTTTGAACCTCATGGGAAAAGAAGGCCATTAAAATAAAATGAAATTAAATAAACACCACAAGAGCAGAGTGACATAAGTGCAAAAACAGCAACAGGTGGATTTATTCACTACCAATTCAACAGCATTTAGGTTTTATAAGGTCAAAGAACATTAGAGAGCATCAGACATGCTGCTGAGCTCTATGATACATTTTATGGAGAAATAAATGGCATTTTATTTTGTTAAATTTATCAGTCATCACTTACATCACAGTATGTGTTCATTAATATTGCCTCATTCAGCATGTTGTTTTATGGATGTCATTGCATTTATGTGTGGAAAAGGCCTGTAAGAGACGACACGAGCACGAGGAACGCTGAACACCTTTGACCCAGCAGACGCTTCAGATCATTCATCTTTTACACCCAAGAGCTCTTTAAGTAACTGCATGTGAACTGTTGTATTTGCTCAGACAGATCACTGATGTCAGAATGAAGTATATACTCTGTCTCTGTGTGTGTGTGTGTGTGTGTGTGTGTGTGTGTGTGTGTGTGTAGATCACAGCTGTTCAATGACACTGAGCATGAAAACTGCAGTGAAAAACAATTTGAGGAAAACTAACATCCAAGCATTCTCCAACTGCTTGGTCCACGTATTAAATATTAATATTAAATGAATGTAATATTAAAAATAAAATAATCCACCCATTCTCCAAACAGCTTGTTCACTGTAGGATTTATACATCTATTCCACATGGATCCTTTCTAGAGAGCCAGCAGCTGTTAAAACAGTTCAACGCAAAAATGCAAGAACCAGAGACCAGGCTACATGTGAAGAACAAATAAAACGTCACATTTCAGTATCTTTGCTTGTACGGTCACAAACTACAATCACATTGGGTCCTTATTTACTCATTTAAGTTTAATTTTTTTTCTGTGGAACACTATTGCAGATGCTGATTATTTCCACACATCAGACAACAGACAGTCTTTACAATGCAACAGCGTACAGAGGCTTGAGTAATCTCGACAGATATCGAGGTGAATTGCTCCTTTGATCAATCATCCGGCATGATCTGTTTCCATACAAATCACACTAACACCGTGCCGCGTGTCTTTGAAGCCGCACGCATCTTTGAGGACGTACTCCGGCATTTGATCCATTTACTTTAAAGTGCAAAAAAGTCATTAGAACAGAAAGGTGCTGCTTCCCTTTCATGCATTTATAGTCTAATTGAGGTTTGATGTTTTTGCTCCTGCATCAATGCGCTCATTTACATCTCAAGCAGAAACAGGAGGATAATTTATCCAGATATTCACTGGGAAACACAAACGTGGCAACAGTCAATCATCCCAAGGGCTTAATGAGTTATTTTTAGCACACGTTTGTGTTCGACAAAGCAAAGTCAAGAGAAATTCATTATGTGGATGACAGGTGCTGAACTCCAGCAGACGACGACACGATTACTGACATTACAACAAACAACAGCCAACCTGCCGGATCATTAACAACAACACAATGACACTATCTGTGACAAATATATGCTGTGCTCAGCAGTTTTACACACAACGGAAACTGAACCAGTGCTGTTGTTGTTAACTAACACTAAAAAGATAACAATTAACATTGTTTAACATTTCGATAAAAAAAAAAAAATAAATAAAACAATCCATCCATTCTCCAAACTGCTTGACCTATATAGGGTTGTGTGGATAGATAGATAGATAGATAGATAGATAGATAGATAGATCAGTTTTATCACTATTAAATTGCAGAAAATTATGTCATCAAATTTTTATATCACCTAGCCAAGCTCGGAGGACATCTAAGCTTGTCAGATCACTGGATTGCAATAATAAATGTAACTGTAAATAATCAGCATAGCAGTGAAAATGTATATGATGTTTCTGAATTGCGATTCCAAGAGGTATAGTAACATATAAGTAAAAAAAAACTAAATTGGGCCCAGCAGAGAGCCCTGTGGAACACCACATTTGATTGTAGAAGGGGAGGATAAATCATCTCCAAATGACAACCACAAATGTTCTAGCTAACAAATAATTTTAAAATAATTTACTATGGCAAAGTAACACTGCTATTATAATGAAAGCTTCTGAAGACAAACATGTTTTGCTTTAGATTACCGTGACTGAATCAGAGCAGGAATGTTGAATGAGTGCGTGTCGTCTTGCGTTTGAGAGCAGATGTGTTCAGTACACATTCATTCACATGGGACACAGATGTTTGCTTGGCTTCTCTGAGCGTTTACACTTCTGATCTTTCTCTCACATGATTAAACTTTAAAAGCCTCATGTTTGTTCAAATATTTAGCCTGCAAAAATCTCAAGTTGTGAGCCATTCCTGAAATGAAATTTGAATCAGTTTATTCTGCCGTTTCACAGCAGCACTTTGTGCAACGGCCTCATAAAATCACCATAAGCTGAAACATTAGAGACTGCAAACTGAGCAGAGATCACAACACCGTCAGCAGTTTTGGGGAGTAACTAGTTACATGTAACGGAATTACGTAATTTAATTACAAAATAAAAGTAATTGTAATCAGTTACAGTTACTTATGAAAATGTTAAGGATTACAAAGGGGGTTACATCTGATTTTTTCACACACACTCCCACATACAGATTTAATTGAGTTCTTCCATAAATTGCAGTGACTGCTCTAAAATATGAAACACCAATGTTTCAGAAGTTTATAACATGCTTATTCGATAACTCGATAATTTCCTATATGGGTTTATGTATAGCTATGCTTA